CCCCAAAACCCCAAAACCCCAAAACCCCGTTAAGGAGAAGATTTTTCGATAGTTAAAATCTATGTTTTCAACTTTGCGAAATATTTTTCTTAGCTCTAAATTAAATTTTCGTAGATTACTCGGTTTGATATATTGAAAGATAATATCGATCGAAACAGCAAATCTTTGTCTCAATAATTTCAAAAATAAAAATAGGACTTTCATCAGGTTAGTTGCAAACATCTTGTGTGCATTCAAATATTACACGGATGAGTAGTTTTGACTTTGCCGGTCTTTGGATTCGGATTTCAGATTTCGTGTACTCGACATGATAGAAACCATCTCAGTCCATCAACGAGTAAATTTTCATCTTTTAAGTATTTTTCGTATGTTGACCAAGAACATACTATTTCAGCAAAATTTGATAATTCAGAGTTCTAACAAAGTGTGTATCAACAAGATAAGAGAGAATAGATGGATTAGAGAGACTTTGGATTAATACGAATTGAGACTATGAAAAATTTAATTAAAGTTTTTTCGAAAATCTAAGCATGTGGACTCAAAAGGTATCAATAGGACTTCTCTGATAAACTCGGGAAAATACTTAGGGCCGCAAATAACAATGAAGTATGGTGGATTAAGAATGAAATACTGTGATTTTAGTTTTTTAATTTATTAGGGGGTCCGGACCCTCAAATAAAATATATTCGTGACATTTTATTCATACTATAATAATTTATTAAGTTAATAAGCATTCTAAATCTTTTTTAATGATGTCTGTACCAAACTTCAGTGATATGGAACCACGAGTATACAGCTTTGAAGATACTCTAATGTAACCTGAGTCATCTACTCACTTAGATCAAACAAATTGGGGTTTAAAGCAAGAGAATCTTGGCGTTTAAGCAGAGAATGTTCAACAGACCCTTAGATGGGCTTGTCATCAGGAAGGGACCAGAGGATCATTGAGCTTACGCAGTAGTTCTATTACCTTGATTGAACCACAATACTAGCACAATGACTTTATACTGCTACCTTTTAACTTGGATTTTGATAATCCAGAGGAAGAGTCGGTGTTTAAGTAATAAAATTATTCTTTGTTCAAACTGTCTGAACAATGGGACCAGTATTTACTATGTGATTAAGATAACCTCTTAAATGAAGGATAACTGGTCAAAGAATCATCTACCGATAACATGCCACTACTACACTCATTAAACCACGAGATAACGGGTGTTTATGATGAAATGTCGGACCAGGAAGAAAATTCCATATAATAAATAAATATTTCGTAAAAAGGCTAGAAATCAATGATATTTGTCAAGGCAAGAAGACAGCTAAAAGGAATAAAATATTAGATTGGAAAAATCAAGAGAAGAGATATATTAGTCAAAGCAACATTAAGAAAGATAAGAAAATTTTTCCTTGCTAAGTTTAATCAAGCCACGAATTATATTAAGGAAAAGAAAAAGAAGTCTGAGGGTTTCCTCATCGAAAAATTAGAATATTTCTTAAAAAATTTTCTCATTAAGAACGACGAAATATATAATATCAGCTCATAATAACTCGAATAAACTTATAAGCAAGACCTTATCATATTCATGGGATCTATACTCTACCATAATACAATGATTAGAATCTATGCCAATGACAATGAGGCACTAGAGAAAATAAATAGGATTCACCAGATAACCTACGTGTATTCAACTAAACTCTTAGAAGAACTGCTCAATGAGCCTTCTTTCAGAGATATAATTAGCCTATTCAATTCCATTTACCGAAGCTAAAGTGACAGTTTAATGGACAAGTTGACAAGAAGCGACCCTAAATTTGAGTATGGAATAGACTACTTGATGTGCTTAATGAATGAACAAGAGTAAATGGAAGAATGATTCGGAATCAGACGGCAATAAATAATCTTAACTATAGTTTTTATACCCTAATTATCATCTTTAATTATTCAATAATCACGATTATTAAAATACATTCTTTCAATACTGTTAAATTGGTGCTTTAAGGGGTTTTGGGGTTTTGGGGTTTTGGGG